GAGAGTGGGAGGATAGAAGTCACGGTACAATGAAGGATAACCTAAGCCAAGCCAAGATGCCAACAGCTCTGAGGGCCTTAGCAATGACAGGATAATTTCTTTAATGAACAGCTGTCTTGGTATGTCAAAAGGCTATCAGGAATCTTGAATCTAGGTCTATAGCCTGAATAGATATAGACAAAGTGATTGTAAAGGTAGGCACTCACATTACGTAATAATCATACATTTTTTTTTAAATTATACTATCCGTAGGGCCAGGTTAGCCTACACAAAAGGTAGTGTTTTGACAGTCACAAAACTCTACTGGACAGCTCATTCTTCTCAGAAGTGGTATAATACATAAGATGGACTATTGTCACTAGAAGTGGCACTATTGGCACAGCTGGGAAAATCTTGGTGAAAGCCAGGCCTCTTCACCTTGGGGACCTTGCTATAATGGCCTGATCATGTAGTTGTGATGTAATAGAGCTATAACGTGCCTTATGTGAATGCAGCCTGTTCATTTGAATGGGCCGAATAATGCATCAAAAAAGGGCATGTATTATTTATGGAAGTGCACTGCTCCACAGTGCATGTTAATGTGTTGCAACTCAAATCCATCAGCAAGAGTGCTATTAAGAACGAATGACTGGCACCACATCGCAAGCAACACATGTAACGTGGCATTGCTGCTGTGTAACACATTTTATAACAATGCAAAGGTGTGATTAGGCCCTAAGATTCATCAGAAGTGGGTTGAGACACTATTGTGGCATTTAAAGCATTCAGCTCCACTCTTTATCTTCTTTAACCACTTGCCTTTCGGGCAATTTTACCCCTTTCCTGCCCAGGTCAATTTTCAGCTGTCACAATTTTAATGACAGTTGTGCGGTCATGCAACACTGTACCCAAACACAATTTTTATCATTTTTTTGTAACAGATAGAGCTTTCTTTTGGTGGTATTTAATCACCACTGTTTTTTTTTATTTTTTGCTAAACAAACTAAAGCAAAATGAAAATTTTGGGGAAAAAAGTTTCTTCTAAGTTTCTGTTCGTAAGTATTTTTTCTCCTTCACTGATGTGCACTACTGAGGCTGCAGTGATGGGCACTGAAAGGCTGCACCGATGGGCACTGATGAGGCACTAGTAGGTGGCACTGATAGGCAGCACTGACTGACACTGATAGTTGGCCCTGAAAGGCAGCTCTGATATGTAGCATTGATGTGCACTAGTAGGCACTGATATGTGGAATTGATGTACACTGATGGGCACTGGTATGTGGCATTGATGGGCACTTACAGGTGTCATTGATTGACAGTGCCCTGATGATCAGTGTAGATGTCCCCTCTGAGAAATGCCGATTACCAGCTCCCCTCTCCTTGCGCTGTCAGCGTGAGGAGAGGACTGCCAATAACTGGCATTTCCTTATTTAAATGTGATCAGCTGTGGTTGGACACAGCTGATCACATGACAGAGCCAACGTCATCGGCTCTTTACTCTGATCGGTGATCCGCTGTGTCCCTGGGACAAAGCGCACCACCGATCGCCGGTGTCCCACAGTTAGAGTGGGAGGACTGCCCATCATTTCCTTTTATGGCGGCTGGAGCGGTTAAAGTAAATCATCTGTAAGGCAGATTTTTTTTTTCTTGTTAAAAAAATAACAAGCATGTCATACTTACCTGCTCTGTGCAACAGTTTTGCACAGAGCAGCCCCGATCCTCCTTTTTTTGGACCCCCTGCTGGCACTCCTGGCTCCTCCTCTTCTTGATGCGCCACCTTAGGAAACCACTTTCTATCGTGGCACTCCTGCATGCTCACTCCTGAACTGGCTCTGTGTATCTACAAGACACAGTACGGCTCCCTCCTCACTTGCTAGGATTGCCATGTCTGAGCCAATGTGAAGGGATGAGATCAGACTCAGGTAAATATAAATGGCTGCCTTGGAGCTCCATGCAGAAATTTTTTTGCCTTCATACATAGAATGCATAAGGGTAAAAAAAAAAACCTGCCTTGCAACCACTTTAAGCCTCACACTGGCTGTGAACACTCTGGGAATTGCATGCTATTAGGTACTTAAACCATTAAAAAATGTCCTCATGCCTGTTACACAGTGGCTCTCAGTACCACATACCCTCCAGCCTATTTCACAGAATGCCCACCAGAGCATAAACCTTCCATCCAATACTTCACACTCTGAACCTCCACACTTCCCCTGACAGCAAATTATATGGTTGTCGTTTTCTGTACTATCAGGAAAGAGCCTCTCTATATTGAACAGAAACAGTACCTTATTTTTGTGTCAATTAGGACTGTTTTGAACCCCCTCAAAAAACTTGAACACAACCTATAAACTGTTCACTGGCCATGGTGTTTTCATATGTCCCCCACACAGGTATTGTTTAGATATTGTAAAGGGGACTTCATTTTAGTGTATTCTAACTGACTCATGGTACAAGGCACCTTCAGTAAGTATGGACCGCTGCATGTTGCTGCAAAGTATGGAGGCTTGGCAGACTCTATTTGACCAGGCGACACTGGTGAAAAAATTAGTTGGCTGTGATGGGCTTTCCTGGCCTTTCACTATTGTCCCTTCAAGATTGTTATTGTTCCTTCGGCGTTTCTTCTCTGAGCATGCAAGTTCAGTGGATGCATACATACATGTTTAGACTATGACTGCCCTGCAGAAAAGTGGTTAGGGTCTTAACCTGACATTATATGTTATGGATAGCAAGTACTGTAGAGGACAATTTATCTTTTGTGAGCTTGTATTATACAAACGAAAGCCAACAGGTTAAATATTCATTTTGCAGGAGCATAAATACAGAGTTTTGTTTGAAAGCATTATTCGCTTCAAAGAAATGAGCTGTGAAAATTAGATAAATTATGCTATTTAATAGCATAATTTAAGCAGTTCCATGAATTGTTTTCATGGTGATAATTGAAATTATACAAAAGCATTTTTGAATGTATTATTTTAATAGCTCATACATACCTGTAAGATCCCAAGTCATACTGAGAGATTTAGTGAGTACAACCTCTTACATTAAAGGAAGCCTGTGCTAAAAGAAACATGGAGGCTACCATAGCTGATTTCCTACTGAGAGCACTAGTTGTTTGGCTGTCTTTCTTCATATATCCTCTGATTCATTGACTTTGAGCACATATAAGGCGAGTAAATTAAGAATTCTAGATCAGCAGGTCAGCAGTAGACACACAGTTTTTTGGAAATAGGTTTCCATTTTTAACCGTGTACAGATGGACTTAAAATAGGAGAGGTAAGGGCATATTCCTATTGTTTGGTACAGATGAGCCTGGTGACAGTAACCACAAGACTCCTCATGTTCAGAGATGCCAGTGACAGCCATGTTTCTGAGTTTCTATCTCTAAGGAGCACAGCAGTCTAACATTTGGCAGCAGACAGAATATTAAGGGAGCACTGAATGCTATACTGTGGACCATCAGGGGTCAGATTTTATATTTAGGTTCTGTTAATAAAAACTCATTACCATTACTCTTGCGCAAGAGTGACGTCATCCTGAGTAGACATGTACCTGCTGGAAATTTTTGCTTCATTTCAGATGCATTAGTTCATTGAAGAATTTTATTTTGTCATATTCATTATGTTGAACCGATTCATTTTCGAGATTTGTTTAGTTTCTTCGGAATTCATTTTCTATATTTGTTGGTCCAGGTAGATTCGAAAAATGTTGCAGTTTTTCCAGAAGATTGCTATATATTCAATATATTATTGAATCGGAAGGATTTGATGTTTTTGGGCACTAGTCCAACCCACCAAGAGAAATGGCATGAGCTGATTGGACAATATTGACTGACGTTAAGTGCATTCGAATTAACGAATGGAACAAAATTCAGATCCATTCATTATCCAAACTATTGAATTAATTTAATTCATCATGTGACGTCATCCGAATGAAACAAATATATTGTTTAGTTTCATTATAGCATGTTTTCGGATTTGTTGAAATTTGTTACTATGTCCATTTGAAGATTCATATACATCCAAATCTCCAAAAATGAAATTTTCATCCAAGAAAAAACTAAATCATAATGAAACTCACATGTTTAATCCCAAGCTGGCCACTGAATGAGGCCAACGACCGGCACCCAAAAGATGCCATTGGAGGATGCAGGCCTTTGAAGGAAAGGTAACTTTAACTCCACTTTAAAACATGTAACCCAAATTTACTGTTGCATAATTGTACTAGAAATATAGAGGGTGTATACCAGAGTGCAGGGGGCTAGTTAAAGAGTACCTGAACTCACAAGTGAAACTTTGGTATGATATAGGGAACAACTATGAAGTTTGTGCCTAAAAACTTACCTTTTCCCTTGAATTTCTCCTGATAAAATAGCAGTGCAGTTGTTGTTTCTAGGCACTCCTGTGCTTTGCTTATATCTGTTTATCTGTACTGTGGAATCATCCAAAACAGTGTTGCCTTGCAAGATTTAGAGTGAAATTCGGTGATGCCACTACTGTGCTTCTTACTGTTTTTGCTGGAAAGAAAGACATGAAGATCAGAGATCCTCCTGTTTTTGCGTCATTCTTTGGATTTGTGACTTTTGAACCTCCCCTTCTGCTGCTTAACCGCCTCCCGCCCGCCATATAGTAATATGACGGAAGCAAGGTGGTTCTCTCCTTCTGGGAGGACATCATATGACGTCCTCCCATTCTAACCACTCATGCGTGGCTCCCGGGGCGTGCGGCGATCGTTGGTCCGCAGCATGGCGATCGGCGGTGCTCTGTGTCCCTCGGACACAGTGGATCACCGATCCACGGAAAGATCCGAAGATGTTGGCTCGGTCATGTGATCAGCTGTGTCCAATCACAGCTGATCACATGTAAACAGGGAAATGCCGGTTATCGGCATTTCTTCCCACGAGCTGTCACGCTGACAGCTCATGAGAAGAGGAGAGCCGGTAATTGGCATTCCTCGGAGGGGACATGTACACAGATCATCAGGGCACTGATGATCAGTGTGTGCTGATGATCTGTGTAGCCCCAGGAGCACCACCTGTCAGTGTCCATCAGTGCCAGCTCTCAGTGCTCATCCATGCCACCTGCCAGTGCCCATCAGTGCCACATTTAAGTGCCACATCAATGCCACATATCAGTGCCCATTTGAGCTGCCTTTCAGTGCCGCCTAACAGTGCCAGTCAGTGCCGCCTAACAGTGCCAGTCAGTGCCGCCTATCAGTGCCATATATGAGTGCTGCCTGTCAATGCCCATCAGTGCCACCTACCAGTGCCTCCTCATCAGTGCCCATCAGTACCACCTATCAGTGTCCATCAGTACAGCCTATCAGTGCCCATCAGTGGAGCCTCATTAGCACACATCAGTGAAGGAGAAAAATCACTTATTTACAACATTTTATAGCAAAAACTAAGAAAAAAAATTTTTCACGAAACATTTTCAGTGTTTTTTGGTTTGTTTAAGAAAAAATAAAAAACCCAGAGGTGATTAAATACCACCAAAAGCTCTATCTGTCACAAAAAAATTATAAAAATTTCATATAGGTACAGTGTTTCATGACCGCGCAATTGTCATTAAAAGTGCAACAGAGCTGGAAATTGGCCTGGGCAGGAAGGGGGTATAAGTGCCCTGTAGGCTAGTGGTTAATTATTGCCCCACCAGTCATAAGACCAGCAGAGAGGCAGCTCTGACATCAGTAAGCAAAGCCCCGCTCCTTTATCAAGATGGCCACCTCCACACAAAGACACAGTGAGGAACAAGGCCTACAGACAATGCTGGTGACTAGTCCTTTGTCCTCTGCATTACGTTTTTGGTCACAGCCTCTAGATTTCAGGTACTCCTTTACAATCTTGGTGTATGTCCAGGCACAATTCAAAAAATGTTCCATGTAAATGTACAAACTGTTTGTCTAGTTAGTTCTATCATGCTGCATTCCTCATCAACCTTCATACCTGTTAATCCTACCTTTAATAGTTCCCATGGTCTTCTTCCTTTGGTGGGTATTTCAGTGATGTAATGTGCTTATGGAATTATACACTGGAAGTGGCTTTCCAGAACCACCTTTGCATGCCCACAACCCTTACTGTGCTATGTACAAGTTAAAAAAGGAAATAAGAGCAGTAAGGTGCCACTTAAAAACATATTAAAAATGCAGTTTAGGAAAACAATTGCTATTTGAGAGCACACACTGACATATAGTTATGCCCTTTCTTATTTTAGGCTTTTTTCCTGTATTTTCACCTGGTGATCCAGCCGGTAACCCATGTCCTGTTTTAGGGTATCTTCACTCTGGATGAGCAACGAAAACACCTTTGAAAAACAACATTGTCAGTCTGGGGAGACAGTAGTTTTAGATGTAGTAGAAGATTTAAATGGGCTTGAATAGAGAATTAAAGCAGAACTATAGGCGTTTTTTTCATTTTGGATAGAGCAAGTAAGGGTTATAACCCCTGTCAGATTTTTTGTTCACCATCTGTGTCCCATTGTGGAGATTTCCCTTCTTTTCCTGTCTCATAGCCAAACAGGAAGTGCAAGGCAATCCATTCAAATTAAGGGAATTCCTTGGGGTGACCCCCAGTCACCAGAGCTAGTGTCCCCATTGGAAGATTTCCCCTCTATTAGTTTTCTGGGGACAACCCAAAATTTTCGTTTATTTCTATTTTTAATGATAATGTTAAACACCTCACCGCTCTATCTAAAACTAGAAAAAAAAAAAGTTTTGCCTTTAGTTGTACTTTAAACCCGACTTCAGATAATACGTTTGCTGCTTACACCAGAAGTTTTCCTTTTGGGATAAAGTTTTTACATTAATATTTAAAAGCTAATCATTGTAAGCATCCAGTCTGTGTTAAACGGTTTATTTCAGCCTTCGAACTGCCATTTGCTGTACAGCACAGCTTTTGTTAAAGGAAGTTGAAAAGTAACAAAACTGCTAGATCAACAGGTGAAAATAAAAGAAAAAGACCAAAACATATAAAGTAATTCAGCCACCACATCTGTTGGTAAGCTGCAATAAAACACGTTTTTGTTTTTAATACCACTTTAGGGCCCATTCACACCAGAAGCCATGTGGTTTTGCATGCGCGTTGATGTGCTTTTGATGCACACTTTTTATGTGCTTTACATGTGCTTGCGTTTAATTTTTTCCTAAGCATTTTTTTAGGGGCTTATCTGCTTGCATTTGCTTTGTGGTCTTTCTTCTCATTTCTTCTTTGGACTTTTATGTGCACTGTGTTCCTTCTCATTTATGCATGTTTACATGTGTTTACACAAATTTGTTTTGGGGAAAAAATGCAGCTTGTACTTTTTTTGCTGAAATGCACTGAACTGCAGTGGTGTGAACTATGCCCACTAGTTAACCTCTTCCTGTCCGGGCACTTTTACCCCCTCCTGTCCAGGGCAATTTTCAGCTTTCAGTGCTATCACACTTTGAATGACAATTGCGCGGTCATGCAACACTGTACCCATATTAATTTTTTTCCATTTTTTTGAGACAGATAAAACTTTATTTTGGTGGTATTTATTCAACGCTGGGATTTTTATATTTTTTGCTATGTAAATGAAAAAGTCCAAAAATTTTGAAAAAAAGTGTTTTTCTTATAAAATTTTGCAAATAAATAATATTTCATCATAAATCCTGGCCAAAATTTATTCTTTTATCTTTTTAGTAAAAAACAAATAAGCCAAATTAGTTTATAACCAAAAATTATAATTTTTAAACATTTTTATTTACATTTTTATAAAAAAAAATTATATAATTTTTTTATTTATTTATTTTTTTTTTTTTTTTTTTTACATACTGTCACCCTAGCAGTACAGTGTCACCATGGTGACACTGTACTACTTGTGGGGGGTGATGAAGTTTTTTTTTTTTTTTTTTACACCGATTGCTTTTACACCCATATATGATGTAAAAGCAATCATTTCTCTTTCTCTCTATCTGCATTCTTGCAGCCATTGAGAACTACTGAGTGAGCTGTGATTGGTCACAGCTTGTCACATGGTACAAGGCTGTTGTGAATAGCCTTGTACCATGTGACCTCTGTGATCCTTCACAGATTTCACATGTAGTAAGCAATGTCAGAAGTGACATCTTGCTTACTACTTTGCATGTGATCACTGATTGGCCAATCAGCGATCACTGATCGGGACCTCGTACAGAGGTCCCGTCCGATCGGTGTTTCACTGTGTCTGGAGGACACAGCGGGCACCAGATTGCGGTGATGCGCGCACAAGCAGGGTGCGGGGATGCCGTTTATAAATGGCCACCCGACCCTGCACTGCCACCGTCCGGCCGTATATATACAACGGCTGGACGGGAGTTGGTTAACAAAAATTTTGAAATGCAGTGGTAATGTGTTCAAAATGCATCCCATTGCACGTGGTGTGAATGGGCCTTTAAATTTTGACATGCTGTCACACCCCTCCAATGATATATATGAATGTTGCTTGCATTTTGGCAAACACCTTTTTTTCAGTCTTTTGCATGGTGCAGGTAAGTGATTAGGTCAAGTTTTAGATAAAGACTTGACTCGTGTCACTGGAAGTGGCTTTTCAGAACCACCTTTGCATGCCAACAACCCTTACTATTTATGTACAAGTTAAAAAAGGAAATAAGGGCAGTAAGGTGCCCACTTAAAAAAAACCAAAAAACAGCTTAGGCACTTTAGGGGGAAAAAAATGCTATTTGAGAGCACAGTTGTGTCAGCTTGTTACAGTTGTGTCTTCCAGCTGTGTCAGTTTCTCCATATTGGCACCGTATGTCCATAAAAGTATGCCAGAGTATGCAACCGACCACAGAGATTGTACTGAAGACCAGCTTGGATTTATATTGCATTACATGCAAAACAAGAATCCCTGTTTTTATGCACACATTTGCTAGAAGTGTGTACATATGTATAAGTACATATAGAGGGTTAATCCAGAAACTTCTCAACGTAAACCTCACAGCCATTATACACTTGTAAAAGTTCTGCCTAAGAGCAAAAACCACAGGATGCCTGCTGTTACCTTTGCAGAACACCCTGCTTTGTGTGTCTCTTGGATGGCAGTTGGCTGACATTTTCAATTTAATGCTAAAGTGCCTTGCCTTAGTGTTGGAATAGTAACATTTGTTGGTAGGAATTCTTGCAGCGATGAGCTCCAATAAGACTGGAACAGTTCCCAGAACTGTTGTATAGTTAATTTCATATACACTCTCTTTACTTGTCTGCCTGAAGCTGGCATAATGTCATATAAACATGGAGGAGAATGTAAACTATGCCTCAAAGGACCCAGCTTTGAGCGGTGGATACATTTTCCAAACTGGCTACATGTTCTACACATTTTTTATTAATATAGCAATTTAGTGTACTAGTTCTCGCCATATTATTTCATAAAGAGTTGAACTTTTTTTTTAGCAATTTTTTATGCATTCGTTTCTCTAGTTACACATTTCTATTTTGTTTTTATTACAAGTGTGTATATGTGTGTGAATGTATATATATATATGTACCGTACGTATGAGATATATATATATATATATATATCATGACATTTTGGCATTGATATTGAAAATATGACTGATCATGCCAAAAAAACTTTTACTTTTTAAATCATAATGAAAACAGAAATCGCCCAAATGGCCCTGATCAAACGTTCTCATATCCTGAAATGTTTGGCCTTGGTACAAACACACAAGGTGACACACACAGGTTAAAATGTCAATAAAAGGTTAATTTCCCACATCTGTGGCTATTTAAATTGCAATTAGTTTCTGTATATAACTAGTCAATGTGTTTGTTAGTTCTCACATGGATGCATTGAGCAGGCTAGATACTGAGCCATGGGAAGCAGAAATGAACTGTCGAAATACCTGCGTAACAAGGTAATGGAACTTTATAAGGTTGGAAAAGGATATAAAAAGATATCCAAAGTTTTGAATATCCTTCAATGAAAGACAGTGATTTTGGCATGATCAGTAATTATTTTAATATAAATGTCAAAATGTCATGATTTCCGCCAGGGTGTGCAAACTTTTGAGCACAACTGTATATGTTGGTGTGTATATATATATATGGTGTGTGTGCATGTGTATATATATATATATATATATATATATATATATATATACACACACACACGCTGTGTGCACAATTATTAGGAAATTTGTATTTTTGAGGCAAATTGTATTGTAATCATTGAAGAACTACAGTGCTCGCAGTCATTCCAAAATGTTAACAAACCTCAAACCTGGATATTTAAGAAAGTCAAAGTGAAGTTTTGGGTTTCTTGGGAGAATATCTATGTGTGCACAATTCAACTATTAGTGTGCTGAATTATTAT